CAGTAATTTATCTGCATTCTCCCATGTAACTCTCAAAACTGCCCTGGGAAGTAAAAAAAAAAAAAAAAAAAAAGCTTTACCCTCACTTTACAGATCAATAAACTGAGGTTCAGAGTGGTTAAATAACTAGGTTAGGGTCCTCAGCTAGAATGACGTAAAGCAGAACTCACACCCAAGACTCTGACATCAGAGCTGCATTCCTGACGTGGCATGGACAGAGACCACCAGCCAGGGTAGAGGCTTCTGAGGATATTCTCCTTCCAGATTCTGTTTAAGGTCATGAGTCTTTCTCTCGGGAAACGAACTCCACATCTTTACCCACAGTTTTGCATACGTTTTATTTGGTTCATGAGATCCTCTTGAAGCCCACCCATGGGCCCCTCAGTTAAGACCCCTAAACTAAAAGAATGAAAGTGGCCGTCAGGTTGGCCTGATCAGCTTTCTAGGATGCGTTTGTACTGATTTTCCCTACTGGATTGGAAATTCGTATGCTCATGGAATCACCCAACCTTAAGAGTCATTTAAAAAAGAATCGTGATTCTTGATATTATACATTCATCTAAGCATGGAATTATATAATTCTAGATTTTGAAATCAGAAAAGTCTTAGGATGTCAGAGCTAAAAGGGACCAGAGTAGAGATCAAGCTCACACATAATTTCATTCCACAACAACTCTGACAGGTAGGGAGTATCAGACACTGAGGCTAGGAGAAGGAACATAGCTTGCTCAAGGCCACCCAGTAATAAGATTTAAACCCTAGTTGCTGGCTTCAATGCCAGATCATCGGGTTAAAGACTCAATCAATAGAAGGAAAGCCATGCATGGGGACAGAAGGAGCATTTGTTGAACACTTATCATGTCACTCTCCCAATAACCCGGCAGAGCATTTTTATTTTATAAATGAGGAAAGAGGTTCAGAGTAGTGAGATAACCAGCCCAAGGTCACACAGCTAGGGGAGCATCAGTGACCGTATCCACTGCTGTATTTCCCTGATGTCATGAAGAAAGGAAATCATGGAGCAAGACCCTGCAATGTTTGGCTGATGCTTTTCCAGGGAGAGAAATTTAACTGACAGACACATATGCTCTGGTAGGTGGAGAGGTGAATGCTATCGTGGGCCTGGATGCAGTATCCCTCAGGATTCCCTGCCTCCCAGGCCTTCCCTTCTCTGACAAGTATCCAGCACCCTCTGGACAACTAATTTGGCTTCCACGTATCCTGATGCTGGGAAGGGGTACTCTGGATGACAGACATGAATAAACCATCCATGGGAAGTGCACACTCCCCACTGTGTGAACGAGGTGGCGTTCTGAGGTCAAGGCCGTTTTCCCCCAAGAACCCGCCCCATGTGGTCACTGGCCTCTTGCTCTAACAGCCCTAACTACCTTCTTTAACATCAATGCAGGTCCTCATTCACAGCCACATAAATCTTTTCGATGATTTTTTTTTTTAACACTTCATGAATTTGCATGTCATTCTTGCTCAGGGGCCATGCTAATCTCTGTATTGTTCCAATTTTGGTCTATGTGCTGCTGAAGCAAGCACAATTGTTTCAATGTTTTAACCAATCCTGGCTTAACATTGAAAACTTACAGTGCGCACACATATACATTACTTCACTTAACCTCATTGCAACTCAGTGAGGTTAAGTATTATTATATCCTGTTACAGATTAGGACAGTGAGGCCCAGTGAGGATATGTAACTTGCCCAAGGTGACACATCTAGTAAGTGGCTGAGCCAGGATTCAAACTCAGGTTTATCTGAATTCAAAGTCTGTTCTCATTGTATAACTCTGTACCTTTTCATAAGTATCTCTCATTCCCATAGCAGGGGTTGGAAAAGCTGAAGGTCCTTAATCCCTTCCTGAAGGTGATGATGTTCGCCTTAGCAAGGTTAGAGGACTTGCTGAAGGGCGCCTTTCAGGATGATGTTGGTGCTGTCATCAGAATCCAGGTCCCCTGACTCCCAATCTAGAGGACACTTCCTCCCAGACCATATTGCCATTCCTGTCAGACTATGTAATTTCTTTTTCTGATTGGGACACGGAGCCAGCAGCCAATAAAGATCACAATCTGTCTGCCTGAAGTCTCCCTCTGTTATGAAATGAAGATTTTAAAAAGTGCATTTCATACAGGACCCAGGTTAAATCACACTTGCATGAGCTTCCCTGGTACAACTCCAGGTTCTTCTTGTCCCATGGATAACAGAACAAGGTGGCCGAGCAGCTCATGTGCAGCCTCACTATTCACACTTAACTCTTTCCAATCGCTAGCTCCAGTTCCCCACTGACACCCCCAACCACTCATGAACTAAGTCTTCTCAGTTCCATGTTCTAAACACTCCTTGGCACCACCAGAATCTAAGCCTCAATCATCCCTCACCTGGACCATCATAACAGCCTCCTAAATGCACATCCCTGACTACAATCTTGACCCCTCCAAACTGTCCTTCCCATTCTAGCCAGAGTAGCTTTCTGGTGTGATGAAAAACCCTTCTATCGGTCCCCATTGCCTTTATATCCAAGTTCAAATTCTTTACGGCCTGCCCTTTCAGTTTCATCCCTTGCATCTGAAATCCTTCAGCCATACTGGACAATTTACAGCACCCGCAGCACCTTCCTTCCTTCTCCATCTGCAATGTCTTCCCCTCAATAACCCACCCCAATCCAATCAGGCGAATTTTCACTCAGTCTTAAAACCTCAGCTTAGATGTCACTTCCACTCAGAAGCCTTCCCTGATCTCCCAGAACTATGTCTGAGTTCCCTCCTTCCCCCATGTAAAGACATTTTTGTCTTTAATATATGTTCACTGCTACATCCCCTCGTGCCTAGGACTTTGCTTGGCTTATGGTAGACATTCAATATATCCTTGCTAAATGAGAGTTCTCTATGGCCCTCTGTAATTCTTCCACCACAGAACTTACCATACATATTATAATTGCCTCTTTCCTTTTCTGTCTCCCCAAGCAGAAAGCTTTGCAAGTCATGCCTTTTTGTTTAGTATTTTAGCCTGGGTGCTTAGAACGATTCCTGCATGTACTGATAGTGTGTTTATTTACAATGAATGAAGACTGGGCATTGAGGGGAGAAAACCATGGACCTAGGCTGGTGGTGGGGAGGGGCTTCTACTAAGAAACACATTTACTTCCAAAGTAAAAGATGGCAGAGGTGCTGAGAAAGTGTAGAAGGATCCATCAAATTGAACATCAGAAACCAATCACAAACTAAGTCGGGTCTCCTCCGGACAAACCCACATCTCATTGTCAATAGGCGTTTCAGAATCTCTTTTGGTGCACATGCTCAAACTCTTCTTCCAAGCCCTATACCTTCTTTGCTATAATATCATGGGAGAACAAAGTAGGTGTAGTGTGGAATGTGATCTATGCATGTAGTACAGGAATTAGGGGATCCTAGAGAAGTCGTGGGACACACATCATCTAGTATGTGTGTGTGTGTTGGTGGGGGGCAGTGTGGCACATAATAGATGGCCGGGACTTTGGAAACCAAGGGTCCTCTCCTCAGGGAAGAACCTACTCCCTCGGTCTTGTTGAGCCAGGTGGTTATTAAAGCAGAATTCAAGATGACTGCCTCTGTCTTGGCGACTATAAAGAGGGGACTGTTGGTTCTTATCGTGATCTCTTCAGTGTTCTGCTGGATTTGGGATGCTGCTGTAACACCTGGCTCACCCCTCCCTCTGGGGCTGTCGCTCTGCCTCTTGTGTGCCCAGCTAGGTAATTGGAGTCCCCTGAGCCACTAGGCTGCAATTGACTGAGTGAACTAGTTCTAAGTCATGCCACAACCATAAAGGAGATTTGCCTCTACAGAACATGGTAGCAACTCCATAAACACTCACCAAGGGTTGAATAAAGGCTAAAAAGAGCATTTCCACTTCTGGGGAGAGAGAATTTGCAGATATAGAGTTAATATCATCCTTCTCATTTTTTCTTCTTCAACCATAATTCTTTCTCTA